GATGTCCCCGTGGTCATCCTGGCCATGTCCCCTCGGTCATCCTGGCTGTGGTCACCCCCCAGGTGACATCCCCAGGTGATCCCAGTGGTGGCCTCGATGTCCCCAGGTGTTCCCAGCCATGGCCACCCCCAGGTGCCACCCCCAGTGTCCCCTCCCAGTTTGTCCCTGTCCCCATACCGGGGCCGTCCCAGTTTGCACTTTATGGGGTCAAATGTCCCCTCGGTCCTGTCCCCGTGTCCCCGGGCTGGCAGCGAGGGGACAGGAGGGGACAGAGAGGGGACAGGAGGGGACAGAGAGGGGACAGGAGGGGACAGAGAGGGGACAGGAGGGGACAGAGAGGGGACAGGAGGGGACAGAGAGGGGACAGGAGGGGACAGAGAGGGGACAGGAGGGGACAGCAGTGCCACACCCCTGCCCTTTGTCCTGGTCCCTTCTGGACCCTCGGTGTCCCCACCCTGTCCAGGGGCCACCCCAAGGTTGGGGACACCTGGAATTTGGGGACACCCAGACTTGGGGACACCCGGAATTGTCCCCCCAGGCACGGGGGGTGGCGGCTGTGGGGTGGAGGGACCTGGTCCTGTATGAAACCCCTGGGGACACCTTGGGGACACCTTGGAGTCATTCCTGGGGTCACCTTGGGGTCATTCCTGGGGTCACTCTGGGGTCACCTCGGGGTCATTCCTGGGGACACCTCGGGGTCACTCCCGGGGTCACTCTGGGGACACCTCGGGGACACCTCAGGGTCACTCCTGGGGTCACCTCAGGGTCACTCCTGGGGTTACCTCAGGGTCACTCCCGGGGTCACTCTGGGGACACCTCGGGGACACCTCAGGGTCACTCCTGGGGTCACCTCAGGGTCACTTCTGGGGTCACTCTGGGGACACCTCGGGGTCACTCCCGGGGTCACTCCAGGGCCATTCCCGGTGCCTCTGGAATTGTCAACCTCGATGTCCCCAGGGTGGGGACGGAGCCTGCAGGGTCCTGGCCCTGTCCCCACCCCCGGAGACACCTTGGGGACATTCCCGGGGTCACTTCAGGGACACCTTGGGGACATTCCCGGGGTCACCTCGGGGTCATTCCCGGTGCTCCAGAGCCTCTGGAATTGGTGACATCGCTGTCCCCAAAGTGCCCCCATGTCCCAGCCCTGGACCAAACAGGGACACTGCAGCTCCTGGCACTTTTTTTTTTTTTTTTCGGTTGTTTCCTTTATTTTTCTTTAGTTTTCCTTTTTTTTTTTTTTCCGGCTTTTTATTTTATTTTATTTTCATTTTATTTTCGTTTTTTTTTTGGAATTTTTTCTTCTTTTAATTATTTTTTTTCCCTTGCTTTGGGAAGCTCCTCCCTCGCGGTGAAATAACAATCGTGATAACCACAACGTCGGGTCGCTGATTTACCCATGTATTTAATGTAAAAAAACCGAACAAGAACACAAAAAAAAAAAAACAAAACAAAGGAAAAAACAAAAAAATTCCATAAAAACCAGAATTCCCAACTTTTTGTGTGCTCAGGGAGGGGACGTGGCAACGACACCGAGGCCATCCGGTGCCAGCAGCCGCTGCCAGATCGCGGCCCTGCCCTGATAACGCTTATCAGAGCTCGCAGCTGCCTGGCACCTCTGGGGTTTTTCCCTTTTTTCCCTTTTTTCCCTTTTTTTCCCCCAAATTCCCAGCGGGAAATTCGGGAGCGGCGCTGCCCCTTTAAATCCCCGTGGCCGCTTTAAGGCCCCCCCCCCCCGGTGCTGCGCCTGGTGTTGCCCCTTTAAGGCGGCGTTGGTGGGGCCCACCTTGCGTGCGGCCACACCCAGTTGGCCCCCGTTAAAGTAAACAGAGGGGGCGTGGCCAGGGTGGGTCGCGCGCTCCCCGAGGCCACGCCCATCGCCCCCCTCTTAAAGCGGCCGCGCCCGCAGGGACATCGCGGGACCGGAACCGTTACGCAGGTGAGCGGCGGCGACAACCGGGACCGGGGGGGGAACGGGGAAAACCGGGAGCGGGGCGGGAATGGGGCGACGAAACCGGGATCGGGGGTGAGGCTGAGGGGAGGGAGAACCGGGACCGCGCTGGGGCTGGGGGGGAAAAACAACGGGGAAAAACCGGAGGGGCTGGGGACAGCCGGGGCTGGACTGGGCCTGCGGCGGGGACAACCGGGACCGGGATGGAGCTGGGGAGGGGACAGCCGGGACCGGGATGGGGGTGGAGACTCGGGGACTGGGACCGACCGGGCTGGGGACACCCGGGACCGGGCTGGGCTGGGGACAACGGGGACCGGGCTGGAGACAACGGGAACCGGGCCGAGGCGGCGGGGATGTAACGGGGACCGGACTGGGAACAACCGGGACCGGACTGGGGACAGCCGGGACCGGACTGGGGACAACCGGGACCGTGCTGGGAACAACCGGGACCGTGCTGGGGACAGCCGGGACTGGGCTGGGGACAACCGGGACCGTGCTGGGACCAACCGGGACCGTGCTGGGGACATCCGGGACTGGGCTGGGGACAGCCGGGACCGTGCTGGGGACAACCGGGACCGTGCTGGGGACAGCCGGGACCGTGCTGGGAACAACCGGGACCGGACTGGGGACAACCGGGACCGTGCTGGGAACAACCGGGACCGTGCTGGGGACAACCGGGACCGTGCTGGGAACAACCGGGACCGGGTTGGGAACAACCGGGACCGGACTGGGGACAACCGGGACCGGACTGGGGACAACCGGGACCGGACTGGGGACAACCGGGACCGGACTGGGAACAACCGGGACCGTGCTGGGGACAGCCGGGACTGGGCTGGGGACAACCGGGACCGTGCTGGGAACAACCGGGACCGGGTTGGGGACAACCGGGACCGGGCTGGGGACAACCGGGACCGTGCTGGGGACAGCCGGGACCGTGCTGGGAACAACCGGGACCGGGTTGGGAACAACCGGGACCGGACTGGGGACAACCGGGACCGGACTGGGGACAGCCGGGACCGGACTGGGGACAACCGGGACCGGACTGGGGACAACCGGGACCGGGTTGGGAACAACCGGGACCGGACTGGGGGCAGAACCGGGACCGTTCTGGGGACAGCCGGGACCGGGCTGGGGCTGTCGGGGGGCAGAACCGGGACCGGGCCGAGGCTGCGGGGATGTAACGGGGACCGGGCTGGGGTTGCGGAGGGGCAGAACCGGAGCGGGGAACCGGGCGCGCTCGTGTCGCCGCAGAGGTCCCCGATTGTCGCTTCCCCCGGCAGCGTCCCCGGGGCCGTTTCCCGGTGCCGGTGCCCGTCACAGCCGCGCTCTCCCGTCCCGCCGCCGCCGCCGCGATGCTGCTGCTCCGGGCCATGGCCGGCCGCAGGTAGGAGCGGCCCCGCCGGGGCTCCCCGTGTCCCCCCGGTGTCCCCCGGTGTCCCCCGGTGTCCCGGGACCGCTGTGACCCCGCTGTCCCCGCAGGCTCCCGCCGCTGACGCAGCTTCCACGGGGCTGCTCCCGGCTGGCCGCCGGTAGCGCGACACCGGAGGGACAACCGGGAGCGGCACCGGGGGGACAACCGGGAGCGGCACCGGGGGGACACCGGGGAGCGGCCCCGGTGCTGGCGGCGCTGCTCGGGCTCGGGGCCGTCCTGGCCTACGGAGAGCGGCAGCGGAGGGTGAGCGACACCGCGGGGACACCGGGGGTGGTGGCACCGGGAGGGGGGTGGTGGCACCGGGGGTGGGGCGGGGACAGCTCGGGGTCCTTCCCCGGGACGGGGACACCGAGGGTGCGGTTGGAGCCCGGCGGGAGGCGGCACCTGAAGGGGCGGATCCCGGTGAGAGGTGACACCGGGACAGCGGGAAGCCGGGAGGGGGGTGGCACCGGGGGGTGGATCCCGGGACAGGGGTGGCACCGGGACAGGGGGATCCCGGGGGAAGGGGGATCCCGGGACAGGGGTGGCACCGGGGGAAGGATCCCGGGACAGGGGTGACACCGGGGGAAGGATCCCGAGACAGGGGTGACACCGGGACAGGGGGATCCCAGGGGAAGGGGGATCCCGGGACAGGGGTGGCACCGGGGGAAGGATCCCGGGACAGGGGTGGCACCGGGGGTGGATCCCGGGACAGGGGTGACACCGGGACAGGGGGTTCGGGAGAAAGGGGGTGGCACCGGGGAGGAGTAACACCGGCACAGGGGGATCCCGGGGAGGGGTGACACCGGGACAGGGGGATCCCAGGACAGGGGTGGCACTGGGACACCGGGATCCCGGGGAAGGATGGCACCGAGACGGGAGGATCCCGGGGGAAGGATCCCGAGGGAAGGAGTGACACCGGGACAGGAGGATCGGGAGAAAGGGGGTGGCACCGGGACACCGGGATCCCCGGGAGCGGTGGCACTGGGACAGGGGGATCCCCGGGAGCGGTGGCACTGGGATCCCCGGGAGCGGTGACACTGGGATCCCGGGGAGCAGTGACACCGGGACAGGGGGATCCCCGGGAGAGGGTGACACCGGGACACCGGGAGCGGTGACACTGGGACAGGGGGATCCCCGGGAGTGGTGACACCGGGATCCCCGGGAGCGGTGACACTGGGACAGGGGGATCCCCGGGAGCGGTGACACTGGGACAGGGGGATCCCCGGGAGCGGTGACACTGGGATCCCGGGGAGTGGTGACACCGGGACAGGGGGGTCCTGGGGAGAGGGTGACACCGGGACACCGGGATCAGGGGTGACACCGGGATCCCGGGGAGGGGGTGACACTGGGACAGGGGGATCCCCGGGAGCGGTGACACTGGGATCCCCGGGAGTGGTGACACTGGGATCCTGGGGAGAGGGTGACACTGGGATCCCGGGGAGCAGTGACACCGGGACAGGGGGGTCCCGGGGAGAGGGTGACACCGGGACACCGGGATCAGGGGTGACACCGGGATCCCGGGGAGGGGGTGACACTGGGATCCTGGGGAGAGGGTGACACCGGGACACCGGGATCAGGGGTGACACCAGGATCCCGGGGAGGGGGGGACACTGGGACAGGGGGATCCCCGGGAGCGGTGACACTGGGAGCCCCGGGAGTGGTGACACTGGGATCCTGGGGAGGGGTGACACCGGG